GACCATTTTTTAACTTAATTTACTCTGATCTTCAATAAGTGTATACCGTAAATTGATACGAATGGATTAGCCTATTTGTTTTTCTTTTTAAAATTTTTTCATCATTTCAATCTCGTATTTGTTAGCTAGAATGCTAGACGGTCAAAGTAAGACTTTATAAACCAATTATGCCGTGGTAAGTTTTTGTTGACCAAAATAGATGTGTCTGTGAATGCAAAACAAGGTTAAGAGAAATTCCAACCATAACATCAAATCACCATTTTTCATCATTTTGTACCAAATATTTGGTGCAATGCCACTTCAACCTAACACCAAATTTTGCACCAATTTGGTGCAAAATGGTACAACACTATTAATTTGCACCAAATTTGGTAAAAGTCATTTTTGTCATTTTTTTTCATTTATCACCAAATGATATCGAGGATATTTCTGTCATTTTACATTATACATAAATTTTAATTCTTAATTATTTTATTATTATTATTATTATTATTATTATTATTTGTAATAAACTTTAATCGTATAATCAATAATAATCGAGGAATAAATTAAAATAAAAGTACTCAAAATTTTTTTAAAATGCAACAAACACAATTATTTAAAATTAAAATGAAATTACAACAATAGCCACATACATACGTCAGTCAATGATAAATAAAACGAAACATTTGTGGGATGAATGTATGAATTCCGGTAATTAAATTACGACACTAAGTCGATTTTGTCGTATCATAATTTCGGGATTCAAAATGTACTAGGTTGTTTTTAATAACCTGATTTAATATTTTCTTAGTTGTGGTATTTTTATTAATTGTACTACAATTTAAAATTTTATTAAATAATTTAATATTTTTGTAAATGAAACGTAATTATGTGTGTAGTGATTTATGTAGTAATAAATTAAATAAATAAATAACTTTTCAGCTATATAAATTGTTAAGAATAAAAAAATGAAGAAAATGATTGAATACTGTTCATTTGATGTAACTTTTGGTGTAATGGGTTGGAGATGATTTTTAACTTGGTGCAAAATGATGTAAATTTTAATGCATGATTGGAGATGATCTAAATACTTCCCGTTTGGCCCCCCATTTTGTGGAAATGAAAATGGGTATAATAGTATTTTTTTGAAAAATGAGTGGTTGAAAAAAAGAAAAAGTTTTCAGTTTATATATAATATTATTTTATGAAAAATTGTGTGGATGAAAATAAGATAGAGAAAAATGAAAATGTAATGAAATGAAAATTATTGGGGGGTCAAACAAGGTTTAAAATTGAATGATTAAGAGTTGGGAGACTACTAAGACAATTATTAAAAACTGGTAGATGGTCTAACCTAAATGATAGCTAAGATATTTGTTATTTAGGCCCTGTTTGTCACCTATTATTCTACATTCTATCACTTTTTTTTTACAGTATTCATTTTCAACCATACATTTTTTATTAAAATAATATTACATGTAAATAAAAAAAAATTCTTCTTTTTTAATTACAAATTCTCAATCAATCTACTATTTTATGGTACATTTTTCAAAACTAAAGGGGCCCAAACACATTTAATCATTTCGCATTAGAAATTGAAACGAGGGAGACATTGAAAGCAAAGGAAAACAGTAAGATATGACCTACTGGATGAGTTTTTTTTCTGGTGGTGAATGAAGATGTTTATGAAGATGTTGATTTCAGGTGAAGGATGGGTTAGGATTTTTTTTGTGATGTGAGTATGACGTGTGCAACCTGCTCTAGAAAGAGAAAGTTGTGTGTGTTAGTTGTTGAAAAAAAAAAAAAGGTTGAACCCCAACCTTGAGGGTTCCTACCGCCCCACTCCTAGAGCTTTGTGAAGGAGGTAAATCGCGGAATGTGTCCCAACAGGCCAGAAAACAAGAGCTGCTTGTACACTGCGCCTACAAGGAGTTCAATTTCATGTCTCAAAAATTGAACCCTCACACTGCGGCTGCCAGCAAGACGTGAAATAACCTCACTCCTATCCTTTGCACCCCTGGACTATGCCCCGGAGGGCGTGTTAGTTGTTCTCTCTCTCTCTGTGGAGGAGAAGGTATCTATTTATAGAGGCTTTTCCTTTATAGAGTGGGGGAAAGGTCATGGGCTAGTTTGACACAAGCTCACTCCCACCAGCAAACGACAATCGCGTACTTGATAGCGGGACCCCTCGAAGTTGAAATGGTCCCTTTGTTCGGCCAGTGAGATGACCACCGTAGATGAATCGTTGTCTTGCGTGTTACTCTCTCTACATCGGGCCATTTTGCATCTAGAAACTCAAATTATATATCACCAAAAACAATAAAATTATAGCAAAAAAATAAATATAAAAAGGAATATGCAGGATTTATGGAGATTTGCTTTGATATAAGATTAAGACTACGTCATTCATTGTTGATGCAGTAGTTTTCTATGCTAAATAAGAAAATTATAGTGAAAAATTGAGCGCCCTATTTTTTTGTAACATCTTTCGCTTTTGATGATGATAAAATAAATCCTAATGACGAATTTGTATGGCTCCACGTATTGACAATAAATAGATTCCACAAAACACTTCACAACTGTTTTAGTTCCTTTTTTTAAAAACTCGTTTCTTCAAAACTCATATTGAACATAAGTTTTTTTATAAAATAATTTTCCACATAAATTCAAAATTTTTCCCTATTTCTTAATAATACATTCTTTAAAGAATTATTATTTTAAAACACACTTTCTCCAAAAATACAAGGCTCAAACAGGGCTTCGAAAACTTTACTTTTTGTTGTGACCGTCGTCAACGGTTACTATTCATGCTCAAATTTTGCCAATGTTGCCATCAGAGAACTGCTACATTGATGACAAGGGGCCGACTGGCTGGTCCACCGTGCTAAGTGATGGGAGAAAATGTTTGTTTAGCATTATTTCCCATAATCTTAGACTACTGCGCCTTTCACAGGATATTAATTATAATACTATTTTAGTATGTTATTGCATCATAGTATTTTCTTGGTCATTCTTGATTCATATAATTATTACTTTTAATTATAATCCTGTGAAGGTCTTTCTTTGGGGGGTTCGTCATTATTTGCATGCATTCTGCCACAAAGTATTATTTTTTTCTGAGAATTTCAAAATTTCATCTTTATTTGTAAGTCTTGAATTTTTGCCAGTTATGTAAAGTTAAATGTCTATTTGATCATTAATTCATGAACTGTGAAGGGTAACGAGTCGACGTGTAAGTTATTTGTTTAAATCACGTAGTAAAATTCAATAATTGGTAGAAGTCCTTGATTGAATTTCCAAATAACCACATGGAGTATAGTGAGTTGACTTAACTAAATAGGATTGATTTAAACTTAAGAAGTAGAAATTAATTAAATTAGTAAATTCGATTGAATACAAACTTTGAAATTGAACTTGAGAAGATTAATAGGAACAACTTGAATGAAATCGACAGTCCTGACACTTTTTCTTATCCAGTTAATTTTGAAAAGAAAATTTCAAAAACCAAACACCACTTCTAATCTAATCTTTTTTCTTTTTTTTTTTTCTTTTTTTCTTTGGGTTTTGAATTAGGAGACTAATCAAAATCACTCAAGAAATTTTTTATTTGTCAAGTGGAAGCTAAGTTTGTTAAAATTAATAATGTTAACTTTATTAATTATGTGGCTATATTGTTCACTTGCATTATACTAGCTCAATTAATTTCAAATAACTGAATGGCTTAATATACTTAAACTTCAGGAGTTTGTTCATATGAAAGTCAATGCTACATAATATATCCAAGATTGTAAGGCCTACTCATATTGGAAGTTAATCCAATTGTTATATATTTTAAATCAAATGATGTTTTGTTCTTCCGGTCATTACAAATATTATTTTTACGTACACCAAGCATTATCCTTGATAAAAATCTTATCAAACGTGTCCTTGCTGTATATTTCAATTAAATAATGATTACACAACTGTTCAGGTGCATTATTGAAAACTTCCAACAAGCCCATCCCCCAGACATTGACAACAAAAAATAAAGAGATGCTTCAGATCCTGGGTTTAAAACTCGGGATTGGCTCCAATCACCTCGGCCAGCCCCGGGATTGGAAACCAAGATTTAATCTCAAGTTCTGCAGCTTTATGTCAAAAAATAATATAGACAGAGCACACCATTTAGCTACAGTCGTTTAAAATATATTGCATTATATTCTTAAACAACATAGTTGTCACATTGAATTATTGAATATTCCAAATAAGTAAGATCAAATAAATGTGACAAACAAGTGAGACTAATCAAACTAGTTCTCAACTCTTCTTTTGATTCTCTTTTTATGTTTTCTTTTCTACAAATATTATTTAGAAAGTTGTTGAAACTTGAAGTGGCTTAGAAGGAATTTATTAGTGGAGATGTGAACTTGAAAGATTAAAGATAATAATAAGATATTTGTTTCTAGATAGAAAATAGAATTGTATAGAGTTTTACCAGACAAATTACTATTTATAGATAAAGGCTGTGAATTACTTGTCAAATTCTTTCATCATCGCGTTTACTTTATGTTTTCTTTTTGCATTTATACGGTATTTGGTTTCTCTCTTTAAAATTTGTTTGAACAGAATTAAAAAAATATCCTTTTTGTTTTTCTTTTGAGGGTAGAATGCTGAAGTCATCTCTCGTGTCACCCAGACGTAATCCATTATTTTTAGTCTCTTAATGTCCTCCGTGCACCTGCGGTCGTTGACAATGAAGTTAACAAGATAACTACGGCTAATTTTTATTTTTAGATTTTTACCCATATTATAATTTTAAAATAGATTAATAACGTGGAGGATTTTCAATGTTGTGTAAACAGACCTGGCTTGTGATATTTGCATTAATAAACCTGAAAATTTGCCCCTTTTGTCCATATCCTAAAACTCTTCTAATAAATACACTTCTGAGGTCTGATATTTCACTCATTCTTATCTATAAAGTTTATTGCAATACTTACACATTCCATTTTCTTGGTATAAGCATAATTCGTTCCAAAATGGGAAGCCAAACTCTCAAATTGCTTTGTAAGATTTCCTACTTTAACAACAGGATAGCTACCAAAGACAACAGTCTCTGTATTCTCCTCTTTTTACTAATCGTTTTGTCCTTTTCTCGTTCTGCAAATTCGAAGTCTCTGCTTCATTTGAGAAGGGGTGATTCTATATCTGTCGAAGGCGATGATTTCATCACCTCACCAGATAATACATTTACCTGTGGCTTTTCTGGAATGGGTAGCAACGCTTATTGGTTTGCAATTTGGTTCACCAATTCCAAAGACAAAACTGTTGTTTGGACAGCCCACCGGGACATGCCAGTCAATGGCCAGGGCTCAAGAGTATCTCTAAGGGGAGATGGAACCATGGTCTTGACAGATGTTGATGGCAGGATTAAGTGGCAGACAAATACAACCAATACTGATGTTGCTGCGGCTGAGCTTCTAAATACAGGCAACCTCGTTTTGAAGAATCGACAAGGCGATATTCTCTGGGAAAGTTTTGATGTTCCTACTGATACTCTTTTACCTTCTCAATTGTTGACAAAGGACAAAAGATTGATATCATCCTTAAGAAAAGGAAGCTTGGAATCAGGTTACTTCAATTTATATTTTGGTAGTGACAATGTTTTATCGTTGATATCTGATAGCCC